ATGATAAGTTACGGAAATAACCCCTGAACTATTTGCCACTTGCTAATTTTGGAGGCAACTTTTCCACAATTTCATTGCCTTTCCCCAATTTTCATGGTTCCGACCACCTACTCTGAGGATGTCAAAGGCGATGATAAGCGATGACAGCGAATATATTTTAGGGAACCTGATTGTCTATGAGCATACTCAGTTACTTGTTGAGAGATATGTTACATCATATGTATGTGCCATGGATATGTTAATCAATACTCCAGAGGATGTTGCCCTGTTGGTAAAATCAAAAGTCCTTGTAAGCTTTTTTGGTTCGAATGAGGAAGCTGCAGATATGATAAACAAGTTATGCAAAAACATTCCGTTCACAATGTATTACAAACAACAGTGGGAAGAAATGGATGTCTACTACAATAGTTATTGGCCCCATACTCTTGCAGGGTTGAAGAGTACATATTTCAATAATCCATGGAGTATCATTGCTCTGGTTGCTGCATTTGTCCTGTTTGCTCTAACTGTGGTTCAGACCATCTTTACCATCAAGTCCGCATATGGGACCAGTGTAGCTAGTAATTAGACTTTTACTGTTTTTTTCCTACTTGCGTTGTACACGCTTTTGCTTATATGCATTTTCTTTCTTTTCCTCTATGTAATCAAGTCTCCCACATTCATCTTGTATAAGCATAATATGTCAGCTTTAAACTTTGTCCTTTGCTATACTGCTGCTACCAACAATGAGTTTCCTGACGATGCCTTTAATTTTAATTGAATGACAAGAATGATGACTAATCAAGTTGATGCAATAAGTTCCTTGGATATCTACCTATATCATAATAAAACACTAAACACTTAGTAGGTATATCATCCTCGATTGCCCATAATATGGTTGCATATCGGGCTTTATATTAGGAGAAAAAAATACAAACTTGACTGAGGTTTTGAAATATATGAGATTTTAGTCTTGTTTCTTATCATTATCAGCGGTGAGTGTTGTGATCGGGTGTCCGTGTTTGGAGTTGAGCGTAGTCTGAAACCCACAATTCCATATTAGCAGACGATATTATCAAAACAATCATGTTTATCAAAGGTTTGAAACCGACAAGACAGATTACAGTTTTGGTTCTTAATTTCTTGGAATAGACATACATTAGGACCTCAATATGATATATTTTTTTGCTTTTAATTTAAAAATATATATTAATCCTATTACTTTTACACAAATATTATAATTTGCAATTTAATTTATGGCATTATTGGTGTTTGATATATTGAACCAACAAGTTTTGTGGAAGTTTTTGAGTCAATGTTTATAAATATTTTATGCATCTTCTCTCTTCTAATAAAAGAGTCTAAATTTTGCCACTTGTCAATTTTTATAATTTTCAATTTTTTTTTCACAAAGGCCCTAAAAATTACACGTGTAATACAATTCTTGCTAAATTAAATACTTATGATATTGATTTTGAATTGATTTGCTTTTAAATTGATTATGATTAAGCATAACATCCGTAAAATCATAAACCAAATTGCAAGAATTCCAGTATTAAATTATCTCCAAAATGGAAGGTTGTTTTTGATTTGCATGTCGTAGGTCTTCGTTATAAGCATTCCTTTATATTTACTTTTTTTATTACTTTCATTGTATGTTTCTAAAATAACTCATTGCTTAATGCTTATATAATGGGCTTATATAATAGGTTATTTGGATTTCCAATAAACCGAATAAGAAAGTAATATTGAATTATTCTTATAATAACATAAGAAATATAAAGATAAAATCTGTAAAATTTTAATATAATTAATCTGTTTTTGTTTCCTAATATAACATTAAATTTCAAATTCCAATTTTGAAAAAACCACCGACTAAATGGAATTTTTATTATTCAAGTATACAAAATTATGTAATTTCATAGTATACATAACTGGTCAATTTTTTAAGATATAGACCTATTTTATTTTAAATAAATTTTATAGTGTACAAATGCAATTTTTAAAGATATAAATTAATATATTTTCATTAATAACACTTGCATTGATATTTATCTAAAAATTACGAACACCATGAATAAAATAATAAATAGGGTAAACACATATATTTTATCTCTTATCTCTCTGTATCTCAATTTTAATTATCCTCATCTCTTTCCACATACTTGAGCCTTCTATATCAAACATATCCAATATTCCTTCACCAAATGCTATTTTTTGGTTTTTTTTACCGTGGAATATGAAGTTTCATGAAAATAAAAAGACTATTATTTTTCTTACTTCAAAAGCTACTATTTCATTTGTTCGATAATACTCATCTTTAAATTTCAATGTTGTTTTATTTTTTTTAACCGTATAATACACGGGTTATAACCTAGTATTATATAGTTATTTTAATTTTGAACATATTTTATTATTATTTAAAATGGTTCTTTTATAGGTTTTAATGGTTAATTTTTACAATTCCTTGATGTATTTTGTAGCATGTAATTTATATGTTGTAATGAGAAATTACAAAATAAAAAATAAAATTTAACTATCTAGACTGAACTAGTTCCAAATGTTTAACCGGTTCTATATATGAACAGTGCCAGAATACCAAAATCACTAGTTCCAATTGCATGATACCCTTTCCTATTTGTATTTGTTTGGGAAAATGACTTAAAAGGTAACGGAGTTTCTAAAATATACAAAAAACGACCATTGTTTTTTTAGTACACAAAATACTATTGAACCGGCTATTATAGGTAACCATCAGGTTATCCGGTTTTCAAAATGTTTAAAAAATATCATTGTTGTTATTTACTACAAAAAATATCATTAATGTATATTATTTGTACATAGAATACCAACGAAGTACACATGTGTTCAAGTAAAACCATGTAGTAACCGGTTAGTTCAGATAAATGGAAAAATAATATAAAAGTGTAACAAAGTTTCCAATATGTTTAAAATATACCACACATTTTGTTAACTTCGTTGTTGCCGGATTATGTAAAACACAGATCAAATGGCCTTTGGGCTAGCGGTAAGGAGTGACACTCTCATAAAGAGGTCTTGGGTTCAAGTCTCATTAGGAGACATAGGTGGTTTTAGGAGTAGATTAGTTTGTCGGTTCAAAAACAAAATATAAAACACAGTCGCTGAAGATCATGAACCATCATATATGTTGACAACAGTTATGCAATCTCTTTCATTCCCTCACTCGATCGTTCTTGTGGTAACATGAGAAGTAAGTGGGTAATAACGTTAATTAAACGTTCTTGCTTCCTGATCGTATTATATGCCTCAAACCTAAACCATATATACGTTATATAGATACATATATTATACATCAAGGTTAATCGTTCATTAGTGTTGCGGCACAAGAAAGACACAAAGGAGAAACGAGTGTGATGTTGTGTCATGAGAATTCCCAAATGTGGATGTAGAGAGTAGGAGTTGCGTTTAATTCTCTGGGACCAGTGAAAGATGAATGGTCGGAAAGCTCAGCGTCATGTGGCTGATTTGAACACTTTGGAAACATCAATGGTATTTTTTGTACTAAAATGTGTATTTCGTTGGTATTATGTGTACAAATGATATACTCAATGGTATTTTTTGTACTAAAAAAATAATGGTATTTTTTGAACATTTTAGAAATTTCGTTACCCTTTTAAGTCGTTTTTCCGTTTATTTGAGGTAGCCGATTACCACAAGGTTTTATTTAAACGCATGTGTACTTCGTTGGTATTCTGTGTACAAAAAATATACTTTAATGGTATTTTATGCACTAAAATACAATAATATTTTTTGTATATTTTGAAAACTTTGTTACAAGTTATTTTTTCTAATTGTTTTTATTAAATTTTTATAGCTGTACATAATTTGAAGAAATGGAAAGACAATGAGAAAGAAGAAAAGAATCCAAACATTTTAGCCCAAAATGATAGGGGCAACACCAAAGAGCTCATTGGATACTGTCACACGCTGTTGTCTAGCCCACTAAGATATTCACAAACAGAACTAATAGAAGCCAATTTAGGGGTATATATTTATATAAAATAATAAAATTGCTCGTAAAACTTAAAAAATTCGTTATTAGTTCTCATGATCATTTGATCATCACCTTTTTCACTCAGTCTTTGACTCTTCTCCTGATTAAAACCATTTCCTCTAATTTTCTGTGTAGTTCATGCTTCCAAATTTAATGCAAAATCTGAAGTAAGTTGTCACAGATTTCAGTCTACAAATATGATTTTTTTTTTGCCCTGATCTGATTATTTCTTCTTAATATGGTCTGACCTAATCTAATCGGACCTGATTTCCCCTTGGGTTTTTGCCCTTAGTTGATTCAATGTGCTCTAATCAGGTTAATTTTGTTAATTAACACTCCCATTTGCATTTTAGTTGACGCATTTAACACTTCGGATCCTCATATGAAAAACGTGCTATGTGTTACACTTTCCACTTATCAATGTTGTAAATGGTCATGTAAGCCAATGATTTAGACTACAAGTTTCTAATTACAAACAAAAGCTTAGGAACTAATTAATGAAACTAAATAAAATCATACCTTTACATTCTCAAGGTGGTATTATAAATATCTTTCTTTTGATCAATGTTTCAGCATTTGTATATTTATGTTTGTCTCCTGTTTACAACTCTTGTATATTATGTGGTATTTATTTCCCATTTTCTAGTATAGGAATGGCCAAGACAAGGAGTATGACTAGAAACCACATTCATGATTCTAGCAGGAAGAGGTTCAAGACCCATGACAACGCTGACGTGGCACCTTGGTCAATCCTTAACAATGATGTGCTTTTGTTAGTTATGATGCAACTGGGAGTTGTTGATTTTCTTTCATTTAGCAGAGTCTGTAAGTCATGGAGGTCATTTGCACTCTCTAACAGAAACAACTTTATGTCATCTAGACCACCAATGTTCATATCTATCTCTCATGATGCTAATAACAAAAACTATTGCACTATGCGCGACTTAGAACAAAAAAAGTTTAAAACCATCCTTTCCAATTCAGCTCACGTGACTTGTTACGGATTAACTTGTGGTTACTTGATTATATTTGGAAATGAGCGCCATGATTTCTGGCTTGTAAATCCTATCACAAGACATGAACTTCATTTCCCTCGTTCCCCTTTCTATACACTTTCTCATCCATCAATAGTCAAGGGTATCCTCGTCTTTTTACCTTCAATATCTAGGTGGGCGTTTGTTATATCATATAGATTCACCACTAAAATATCGTATTTTATAAAGGGTAACCGCGGATGGAATCATGTCTCCTCGACTCTCCCCATTCTTGATTTACATGCTTTTAAAGGGAAGATATATACGATACATGCCGATTGTTGTTTATGTGAAATGAGACTCAACCCAAAACCCAAATTGAAATTACTCGAAACCAAGAATTTTCAAAAACCTGATTTGAAACGTCCGGAGTTTGTAACTTCGGGTGAAAAGCTTTATATTATGAATCGCTCAAATTTGTTTGGAGATCCAAATGCGAATAAGGTTCTGGAACTAGATTTTGGTGAAATGAAATGGGTGTCATTAGAAAAAACAATAGAAGAATATGCATTTTTTCTTAGCAATTTCAACTATTCTGCTGCTATTAAAAAAGAGTCGTCGGCTTGGGCTGATCCACGAACACAATCCAAGATCCGTGATTACTTCCTTGATGAACGCTACCTTGACCCTGATAAAACTCGACCAGACATGTTTTTTTATGCAAGGATGTGGTACTTCTCCCATGATTGTTTTAGTGTTGATCTAATAGATGAGTGTTGACATGTTAGCATTCTTATTCTCTGTTTTTATGGACTACATAATTTTCATATTTAGAACATATAATCAAGAGGTTAGGAATCACCTGTGGTAGATTTACATGTTACAATTTATTTTTAAAACAATTTGGCTCTAACGTACCTATTGTATGTTGAGTGATTTAAACTATTTTCCATATCAATTCCTAATTACAAACAAAATACCATATGTATGCCTCTGATTTTTCACCATTTGGGTGAATCTTACATTTGTTCTGGTGCCTTAAACAACTTCAACTAGTTTGTATATTTATAGTACTCATTGTGATCTCAGAGAGTTATATATAACAGGTGTCAGATATTGTTAGTTATCGATCCTCGGAGCTTTATGCTAAAAGGGGAGGTTTGAACAATTAAAGACTTTGAAATTTGAGCTATAGTAGGATGCTATTTATGGTGGGATTTTGAAAGTTCATTGTTTTAGAGGGTGGTTGTTGGATGGAACTTGAATGTTAAGTGCTTCAAATTCCTCTCTCAAGATTTTATTTCAATTGGTTTATAAGATAGAGACCCATAGAAACCACACACACACACACACACACACATACTAGGTTAGAGACCCGGAGAAACCACGAGTTTTTGAGATAGACATGAAAGTCGATTGAAAAAAATAAAAAATGAATAAATACTAAACTGTATTAAAATATAATTATCAATGTATGAGGATATTATACTTTAATAAATGAGAATTTTAAAATACTGTAGGAAAATAGTACAAATTTGAATAGAAACCAAATTTTAAAAATGAAATTAGAAAAACAAAAACACTAAACAATACCTTCAATATCTCAATCAAAGAGATTAAAGGTCAAGTGGCTAAAATTTAATGCATTGTTTTATTCAATAGCTTGTTACCTTAAATATCTAATAAAATCAAGTTACTTTTAAAAATTCACATAGTTCGTGTGTAACGACCCAAAAATCAGAGGTAAAATTTTCATTTTTAATATAACTCAAACATAGATATCATTTATTCCAATCATTCCAAAACATTGTTGATTAAAACATTTATCAGAATTCATCCCAAAATCATTCATTGCGGAAATCATAGGTGTGTGCACTGCGATCAATCCGAGCTCTTCTTTTCCAAATCGATGATACCTAAAACCAAAACTGTAAACCGTAAGCACAAAGCCCGTAAGCACAAAGCTTAGTGAGTCCCCCAGAGCATGCCCCACACACAATCCACATAACACATATTGTATTAGCTGTAAAAGTTATCTCTACCACATAAGCCATGCATATAATCATATAAGGAAGCCATGGAAACCCTCCATGGTCTTACACCTAGTGCCACGAAAACCCCCACGTGGTCTTATCTGTCATGGGAACCCCCACATGGTCTTCCTGCCTTGGGAACCCCCACAAGGTCTTCCTGTCAAAAAGGTCATAATGCAAACCGTACATACAAACATACGAGCTAAACACACAAACATATAAGGATGCCCTGGAAACCCTTCAGGGTCTTACATCGGGTGCCACTGGAACCCCCACATGGTCTTAGCCCACTGCCATGGGAACCCCCACATGGTCTTAGCCTGGAAAGCCATGGGAACCCCCACATGGTCTTATATCCGATTGCCTCGGGAACCCCCCGGGGTCTTCCATGCAAGTATCACAAAGACAACTAGCATACCAAATACCACACAATCAACTAGCATACTGCATATATATATATATATATATATATATATATATATATATATATATATATAACTATTTAACTGTTTGCCATGGGAACCCCCACATGGTCTTCAAATAAATACATAATGTATCAATAGCACATTCGCAACAATCATCACAACTAGATAAATGGGCCAGCCTTGGTGTCTTAGATCCATTGGTATGGTGAGAAGACTCACCTCGCACTGCAAAAGCTTCCCGCATAAATTCCTTAGTTGCTGCCCCGCCAGCTTCCCGAGCTGCCACTACCAATCAATATACCCAATTAGCAATTGGGTCCCATACCATAATCCTTAATCCATGCATGGGGTAAAATGACCATTCTACCCCTGTCCCAGTATGATCCAAAACTAACGCCCAATCCCAAAACAAAAGCCCGACACTATAATGTCCATAAGTCCTTTAATGGCCCAATTTCCAAATTGGGCCCAATCCCAATAATCCACAAATAAATATCAACCCCAAAACTGATGGCCCAACAAGGCTCAAAACATAAATTCCAAAACCATAAAATCCATAAAGGCCCATGAATGGCCCAATTTTCCAAATTGGGCCCACGCTCCTTTTTGAGCCTTAACCTAAGATCCAATCCTTCAATTAGCCCAGAAGACAACCACTCTGATGATCCATTAGGGCCCAAAAATCTAGGCCCAACAGATAGCCCCAACCCGAAGCCCAAAGTCCGAAATCCAACCTGGCTGAGTACATAGGGCATACTCAGCAGTACGCTGCGCGTACTCACTAAATGGCTTGTATGCTGCGGGTACTGGCTTGTACGCCCATCGTACTACCCTCTAGTCTCACTTCTGTCATTAAGCACTTAATGCTTTAAGTCATAAATCCAAACCATAGATCTGAGACCCATATAATGTCTAAACCCATAAAGTCACTGACTTGGTGACTTTTCATGCCCCCAACAAGACCAAATAACATTTTACTTTCATGGAAATGGCTCAAACTCCGACATAGATGGTCTTAAACTCTAAATGTGCCAACTTTATGGACCTTGAACCTCAGAAAGACTAAGAGGGGCAACTCAAAGCTCCTGGAATGAAATCAAGGCCACTAGATCTCATACTTGGGACCAAAATGAACAAAAACTCACAAATGGTAGATCTAAGAGATGAATGAGCAAGTTCAAAGGTTTATACCTTCATCAAGATGAGAATGAGTCCCAAAGGCCAGATCCATAAGCTCCTCCTTGGTTTACATCTTTGCAACAAGCTCCATCTTCTTGAAAATGGGCAAAACATCCCAAAAATGGACTCCATAAGCTCAAAATGCCACCATGGATGATATATGACGATTTCTAGGGTTTAGAGGGGTGGAGGGTGAAGATATTAGGGTTAGGTTATGAGATAAGGGGCTTAAATATGGTCTAAGACACTAAAATAGGGTTCTGATCTGACTGGAGTACGCCCAGCGTACTCCTGGGAACCTTCACGACCATCCTGGTCAATACACCATGCGTACTCCAAGGTACGCCCACCGTACTGCCTTTTTCACTAGTACGCCTCGCGTACTCGGCTAAGCCTGAAAACCACGAAACTTCCGAAGGCCATAACTTCTTCGTTATAAACCCGATTCTGACAATCCTTATATCCACGGAAAGGTGACGAGAAGCCCTACACTTCTATCAAGTCATACCTTCCTTAATACCTTCCAAACAAAAGTCCATTTTCCACAAAAGCCCAAACTACCACTTTACCGAAATACCCCTAGGCCTCAATACACGAATCGAACACCCGGATCGCTTCTAATACATCACCCGCACCCAAATGGGCCTAGATCTTACCTTCTCAAAAGCCCTAATCCTGATGATGATCGATCTTCGGGCCACAGCCTTAGACTAGGAATCAATTCGGAACAGAGCGTTACAACTCTCCCCCACTTAAATTAGATTTCGTCCTCGAAATCATGCATCACTATTCCTTACACCAAATAGCTTGAGCATTATGGCCACAGTCAAGGTTGCAGAACTCGCTACTCTGTACCTGCTCGGCTTACGACCAAGTAGCGAGTACTTGGGAGTATTCGGATTCGGTAATTTGTGTAGAAATATTTTTAAGAAAATTTTATATGTCAAAATCATAATTTGATTGAAATATATAACAAAATTAGATACATGTGAATACATAAAACCTGAAATACACACAATTGTCTCAATTCGTGAATAATTACTGAAAATTTAAGATATATATATAGTAATAATCACATGTGTGTTAAATAATAAATAATTAAGTGTATTATACATATTAATCTTGAAATTATTGATTTTTTTTCTCTTTTTATGACAATTTTGACCCTTTGACCAAGTTTGACCGAGTTGACCGAGTTTAACAGAGTTGGCCGAGTTTGACCGAGTAGGCCCGAATAAGACCGAGTAGGCCCGAGTTAGAGAGATATTGACCGAGTTTTGAACGACGTTGACCGATTTTTGACCGAGTTTGACTTAATCCGAGTTTTTTGTCGAGTTCACAAAACTCGCCTCGATGGAGGGCCGATTCCGAGTACTCGGCCAAGTAGGCTAATTTTTACAAAATTGGCCACAGTCCCAAGTGATGGGTTTTGAGCAAAAGAACATTCCTATGTGCACATGCAAAACCCTAAAGCTTTTTATTTAGGTTTCTCTATTGTACATGCAAATTTATCTAAAGCTTACAAACCCTAGATCTATCATAGCAAAAACGAAATAACATAAAAACAGGTTTAGATGTTTACCTTTTGATTGTTGCAAGAATCTTCAAGCTTTGAGGGCCTAGTATCACAAGTGTAATACCTCTAATGGCTTACAAACACCAAGGCAAGAAGATGATCTAGAAGAGAGGGAATGGAGGCACTAAAGAGTAAACTCCAATCTTGGTGACAGATGACGATCTTCTGTTTCCCATGACCAGGTTTTATTTCCATGCCCCACATCCCTATTTCTTCTTAGGCCCTGCAAATCAGAACAAATGTGAAAACCACACCCTGTATCAAGAACCCAAGAAATAACATGCGATGAGTTATTAGATTGAATAGTACAAGTACCTGCGTAGGATGGTTTTCTCTTTCCATCCTTGATGTCCTGCAGATACTTTGGGCAACTTCGTTTCCAGTGCCCTTTGTCATGGCATTGATAGCACTCTACATCCTTTGGGTTGGAGGAGGGTGCAGTGGTACCAGCCTTGGTTCCACTAGAAGAGGTTCCATCATGAGACTTTCCTTTGTGGTGGCTCTTGGAAGGATCCTTCCTCTTATTACCCTTTCCATGCCCAATAGCCAAGACGGGGGCATCGACAG